CTGAATAAGGTTTCCAAGGCTGTAAATCTTTATAGGAGCAGAAAGCTCATCTTTCTCTCATGGGACAGCTGGTAGTTTCAAACTGAAGACCTTGAGGTAAGCAGCCCGACTTATAACCACTACGCTACCGGAACTCCTTAATACAAGAATAGTATAGATTTAATTTAAAAAAAAAACAAAAAAAAAAACTTTTCTTAGTGGAGATTTAGCTAAAAAAGACTGCTGGAAGCCAGCGAAAAGACAGAAACACATGATGGTCAGCAGAGTATTATGGAGGAACACAAGAAATAAATACACTAAGAAATCAGAATCTTAAAAATTAAGAAAGAGAAAAATGCTGAAACTTGTCTGGTGACCATCTTAGACTACAGTTAACCAAGAAAACAAAGACAATTTGACAAAACAGAAAGAATAAAATTGAGATAGAATTGCTATACCCTTAAATAACAGGTTTCCATTCAGGAATAAGATTGTGTGAGAAATGCTGCATGAAGTTAAGTAAACAGATATAAATAGTTATCATGATTAAAACTATACATATCTAGTTAACTCTACCTTGAAGAAAGTCTCAAAAAAGGATCTATAAAGGTAATGAATATACCATACATGAGGAGATCATTTTTTTAATATATTATAAAGACCTTGTTGTTTTCAAGTGCCATCAAGTTGGTTCCAAGTCATAAGAACTCTGTATGGTGTTTTCAAGGAGTGACTGGTGGGTTTGAACTGTGCACCTTGCAGCTAGCAGTCCAGTACTTATGCTACAGCACCACACCAGTACTTCATAAAGACTCTAACACTGAATATAAATGTACAGCAACAACTTAGGCAGAGTCGTTGCTGCTGTGTGCCAGCGAGACAGTACGGAGTCATTGTGCCCTTATACAGGGTTTTGCAGAGTAGCTGGTGAGCTTGAACTACACATTTTGCCATCAGTACACTTAGCAGTCCTATTGCACTCCATCAGGATTCTTAAGTAGAGTGGACCTTTTGTATCGTCAGTCAACTTAAGTTGCAGACAATGTCAATGAATCAAATGTTTCCCTCACTCCTGTTGCCTCATCTTTACTGTCTTGTGCCTCCACAGCACTCTGGGAGAGGAGGGCAAGTTAACACACAGAATTAGAAAAATATATTAAAACACCTGAACTGTTTGAGACTAGCGAGACATTAGCTAAAAAGTCATATTTCTGTCAAACGAGGAATTAAAACAAGAGAACAGTAAGTCGCATTTTCTTCCTTCTTCCTAACTTTCTTCTGTTAACTTTCTTATTGTGTTGCATGTTAAGAAAAGAGGCTATCAATTTGAATGCATTATGTTTTTCTTCAATATTTATGTATTTTTTAAACATATTGTTTATGATACATTTCATCACTACCAGCAAAACCAACATTCTATTATCAGTTACTTTCAGCATAAATAACTTCTGTGAATTTATTTCCTATTGAGCATAAGGGAATTTCAAACAGTTCACAGAAAAATGGAATTAGATGATTATTCAATTTTCCCATGAATCTTTTTAAAAGCCTCTCATACCTGATGGAGAAAAATGTTGTCTTTACTTTGCCTTCAAGTGATGCAAACATTTGCTGATTATAGAATTTTGTTTTTAAATTTCCTAGGTCATAAAGATTTTATTCCACTGTCTTCCTGGCCTCCACTATTGTTATTAAGAAGTCTTTTCTTATCACAGCTCCCTTGTACTTAACATATGTCTTTAATCCTTATTTTATAGTTTTCAATGGTTTGACTATGAAATACCTTAGTGTGCCCTTCTTTGTATTTAAACTGCTTAGAGTTTACTATTAGGTCCTTGTATTTTTGTCTTATGTTTGATATTAATTTTGAAAAACTCCTGATCATTACTTGTAATATTTCTTCTGTCTTGTTCTCCTTCTGATATTCCTACACATGACGATGTTATAGGTGCCAGTGAGTGGTTCTAACACATAGTGATCCTACACATAACAGAAAGAAACAGGATGCAGTCCTGCACCGTTCTTACAACTACTATGTTTCAGTCCATTATTATTGCCACTGTGTCAAACCATCTCATTGTGGGACTTCTTTTTACTGACCCTGCACTTTTTCAAGCATGATGTCCATGAAAGGTGTGGGGTCAGTAAAATGATGTTCCAGGAATGGGTAACATGTTTGAAGTACTAGAGACAAAGACTGGTCATCCTGGCTTTTAAGGAGGATTCTGGCTGTACTTCTTTCAACACAGATTTGATTGTTTTTATGGCAGTATGTTCAATATTCTTCATCAACACCATAATTCACTTGCATCAATTCTTCTAAGGTCTTCCTTATTCATTGTCCAACTTTCATATGTATATAAGACACCTGAAAATACGTGGGTTGGGTCAGGTGCACTTTAGTCCTCAAACTGACGTGCTTACTCTTGTACACTTTAAAGTGCAGGAGAAATGTCCAATGCTAAATGTTTGATTTCTTGACTGCTACCTCCATGAATGCAATTCTGGTGTGGTGCTGTGGGTTAATGCACTGGACTGCAAAGTTGGTTTGAATCACAAGGTTGGTGGTTCAGGTTCACCTGCTGCTCCCTGGGAACCCTATACAGGTTAGGTATGTGTTGGAACTGACTTGAAGGCACTTAACAACAGCAATCTCCATGAATATTGATTGTGGGTCCAAGCAAAATGAAGTCTTTGACAACCTCAATATTTTCTCTGTTTATCAAGATGTTATGGGTCCAGTTATGAGAATTGTTGTGTGTGTTTTTTTTACAATGAGGCTATAGTCTTTGATCTTCTTCAGGATATATTTTAAGTTCTCTTTATTTTCAGCAAGCAAGTTGGTGTCATACACATATCAGAGGTTGTTAATGAGTCTTCCCTCAATCTTTCAATATACATACATTAGGGTATTTGATATTGTCCTTCAGAATCCAGACTCTCTATTTTGTTTTTCTCTCTTCTTGGATAATTGTTTTTCTCTCAGTTTGGATAATTGGACTCACTTGTCATTAAGTTCGCTTATTTACCCTCTGCTGGGTCCAGTTTTTAGAAAAAAATTGAAAAACCTTCTTCACCTCTGATCTATTTTAGAGGACAGCATTTCCACTTGGCTGTTCCTTTTAGTTCCTATCTTTCTTATAAAACTCCATTTCTACTCATACATAAAGTACACCTTTAACATCATTATGTAAAGTCCCTGTCAAATCATATCAAAATTTAGGTCATCTCTGGTTCTCATTAAATTGACTATTAACTCTCTTGTTAATTATATAATGATCTTATTATATGCCACACAGCAGGTGCAAAGAACAGTAGATACTGAAAGTAAATATTTTTGTTCAAATTAGCCATGCTGCTTCTTCTGGCTGGACATTAATGTCTCTACTGGGGAGAAGAGAAGCTTGAGCCAATCTATTCTATATTTGAGCCAGTTCTGGGCTTTGTGGATGCTTCAGCTACATTCACTTCACCACAGCCTTCAAATAATTTAAGAGCAAGATCAACACGCTTTCACTTTCTCAGAGACTGAAGTGTGATTACATAAAGGGTTTGTCTCGTTTATCCTGTCCTTCTCTCAGAATTCAACAAGCCCCATACACTTGCACATTAGCAGAGTTCCAGCTCTCTTGCCCCTCTCTGAATGATGATATGGTTGTTGTTAAGCGCTGGCAAGTCGGTTCCAACTGATAGTGACCCTGTATAGGGTTTCTGAGGAGTGGCTGGTGAGTGTGAAACATTCTCCTTGCAACTCAAACAACCTTGGGGTTCAGTGCTTATCCCACAGCGCCACACCAGGACTCCTCTCAATGACAGTGGGCCTTCACTTGCTGTTGAATGAAAGAACCAGAGTACCTGTGAGGCACTCTAACCCATTGCATATTTACTGTGAGGTTTTTCCTCCAAAATTTTCTACTCTATTCCCCAATCTTTATAGAAAATACTAGATGACAGTCCTTGGTAAATAACTGAAGAATGGTTGCAGATACCACAAAGTTCCTAGGACTGCAGGTATTCTAAACTCCCAAGCTAATTGATACTCGGTCTTAAAAAATGTGTTAGAAGTTCATCTATTTTCTTTTTACTCATGTCTAAGAGCTTTCTTCTTCTCCAGGTGGTCTGACAAAGCAAGAAAACAGCTCAAGCTCCTGTTTATCCTAGGACCTACTACTTGTCACAGTTCAGGTTTTAGTAAACTGGTGGCACCCGGAAAAGTCAACTGGGATCTCTGCTCCTTGATGGGCTTAAAAAATAGCTATAATGTTGAAGACATCTGGCTTATTCTAGTTACTAAAGAAGGTAAAAATGTATTTGTGTCTTTCTATATCTTAAGCAGGAGTAGAAAATATCAGTACTTAAGATATTTACAGCTTAATACAGCAACATTCTATAAAAATGTCTTCAGTATCATTATTTTATTTCAAAAATAAAAAATTATACAGAAAAACTTAAAATGTACAACTGCTGATTTATTTTTATCCAAGCATTACAGTAAGATCTGATAAGTATCTAGTTGTATAGTTTTATCACCTAAAACTTGACATAGAAAATCAGTAGCTCCGTAATGTTAAACTATGTGTACTAAAAATTTAAGATAACTGAGAAGACAATTTAATAATAATATATACTAAGCATATGTTTTCATATTTAATTTGGATTTAGGAAGAAAAACAATGAGATAGCCCTTTATTTTAATTTCAACTAATTTATCTTAGTTCTGAGGTTACAATGTGATATACACATTAAAGATTTCAATATTCTAAAGAATGTAAGATTAAACAAAACATAGAATTTTTTTAAATTCAAGAAACATTTCATAATTTGAATGTATGATTTCTGTGTTTCATGCAATTTTTTTTATAATATGAAAAATACACCATTTTCAATTGTGTTATGGAAATGAGATAGCATAATGAGTATTTACTGAAAAAAACAAAAAACAAAACAAAACCAGATTAACACTAAAAGCTCTGAAAACAGAAAAAAGATCTTTAAAATAAAAGCTGTAATTTTGAATTTACCTGCAATGTGAGACTTTTTACTGCATTCCATACTATTCCAATAAATTCTTTCATCCTTTCTTCAGGACTTCGACAGCCTTCAGATATATTCAGCATGGCTTTCACAGGGACTGACAGTGGTCGGGATTCTAAGTATTAAAACAGTTATTTAACAGAAATACATAATATCCTAAAAATACAATCACAGAAAATAAACATGCTCATTTCTTTCCTTCTTAAATTCATAATTTATGTGAGATTATAAAATACTACACCAGACACTTTTCTTTAGTAGAAATTCTGATTTTTAAAACTATTCAAAACTAGGTAAGACTCATTTTCTAGAAGATAAGAGAATTGTGATAACTCTTTTCAGGAATGTGACTGGTAGCGGGGCTTTAGAAACAGCAGTAATACTTCTTGATTATATGGATGTGTTCATATATGAAAATTCACTAAGCTGCAACTTTTCAATTTCTCAGTATAAAGTAAAATCATCCAACCCCACTGCCATCGAGTACTTTCTGACTCCCACTGAGCCCATAGAGCAGAGTAGAACTGCTCCGTCAGGTTTCTGAGGCTGTGAAGCTTTAGGGGAGTTGACATACTCATCTTTTCCCTTCGAACTACTGGGGGCTTTGAGTGGCGGACCTAGAAGTAAGCAGTCCATTGCTTAACTCACTGTGCCACCAGGCAACCTTAGTATAAAAGTGATACACAAAATAAAAGAATTACTTGGAAAAAATGGAGTTCAACTACAGAAGCACTCCATTTGTCAAACTTGATAAGGACATGAGCCTTCTAATATGTGAGTTTTTGCCAATAAGTAAAGAGTATCCAAATTTTGCAACTTTACACTTTTTTAAATTGTAATAAAGAGGCATGTGATTACATAAACAGCAGATCTATTTCTTAATAAAATAAAATGTGATATTCCATTCTCTACATTGTTTTGTTAAAATTTTTCATTGTTTATTAAAATAAAGAAATAAATGTGCTTCAATAATTTTAAACTGTAAACTTTGAAGATTTGAGAGACAATTTAATAATAATATATGGCAAAATAGAATTGTTATATCTAAATAAAATCATACATAATTATATGATACATAATTGATGTTGTTGTTAGGTGCCATCGAGTCGGTACCAACTCACAGAGACCCTATGCACAACAAGTAACAAGACAGAAGTAAGGATGGCAAAAACAGAGTGAGTAAGGTCTGTGACAATTAGAAGATAGAAACCAAATCATAGAGGGTAAGGATACTGACTTTTGCTTTTAAAAGGCTAGGAAACGACAAGAGATTCTGACAGTCAAAATTGGAAATGGGTTTGGAAAACATTTTTCTGGCTGTACAGCAGCGACTTAACTATACTGATCAAGTGTTGAAACAAACAGACTAGTTGTGGGACTACAGGTATAATCCACGAAGGATGATGCCCACAATAATTGAGGTAGTAAGAAATGGTGTTCTTGAACACTTTTTAATAAAAAGACCTTTTGCAGTAGATTTGATTGCTACAATATGCTACTTGATTTCTTGACTGCTGCTTTCATGAGCATTAATTGTGTATTTAAGCAAAATGAAGTTTTTGACCATTTCAATCTTTTTTCCATTTACTATTTTATTATTTGTCTAGTTGTAAGGAATTTTGTTTACTTTATATTGAGGTGCAATCCATACTGAAGGCTTCAATCTTTATCCGTATTTCAAGTAATTTTTACTTTCAGCAAGCAAGGTTGTATCATCTGCATACTACAAGTTGTTGATGAATCTTCCTCCAATCTTAAGGCCACACTCTTCTTCCTATAATTCATCTTTTCTAATTACTTGCTCAGCACGCAGGTTCAATATGCATGGTGAAAGGATATAACCTATCCTAATTTTACACCACTCAGTATTCCCTTGTTCAGTCTGAATGACTGCGTCTTGATCTATGTACAAGTTCTTCATGGGCTCAATTAAGTGTCATGGAATACCCATTCTTGACAAAGTTGTCTATCATTTGTTACGAACAGTATAGTTGAATGTCTTTGTATATAGTCAATAAAGCACAAGTAAACATGATTCTGGTATCCTCCAAGCTCCATTTGACATCAGTAATGATATCCCTTGTCTTGGTTACATTTGCTAGAGAAAAATCACTGAAACTTACATATATATGTAAGCTTCATATCTATGTAAGTGTGTATATATATATATACACACACACACACACACTTATACAAAGAGAGTCAAGGAATGGCTCAGAATTGTAGATGGGGGCGAGTCCCAAGTTCAGGTTAGAAGAACCATCAGCAGCACCTGGCAGGTGGCCGGCAGACAGGTCTGGCAGGCAGGCAGGTAGGCAGATGGATAATAAATCAGGCCACTGGCTCAAGTCCAAGGTTGGAAGGGAAGACATATGCAAGATCCAAACCCAGCAGAAAGTAAGCAGGCTTTGCCTGAGTGCCCATACCCCTGAGGAAACATCCCTTCAATTGATTGGCAGCTCACAGTCAATCAAGTTAACTCAAGTTAACAATGCCTGCTCATAGCCAAACATCACAGAATTAACTGCACTATTCAAATCACTATGGGGATAACCATACCTCAACTGCAAAACCACTGAGGATCCTGACCCAGTCAAGTAGACACAAAATCCAGCTTGAATTCCTGTCAGCTCCCTGTCCATATACTGCTGCAACTGTTTTTAAATTTTCTTCAGCAAAATTTTACTTGCATATGATATTAATGATATTGTTTGATGACTTTTGCATTCCTTTAGGATGGGTAAAAATTTGGATCTCTTCCAATTGGTTGGGCAGGTAACTGCCTTCCAAATTTCTTGGCATAGACAAATGAGTGTCTCCACAGATACATCAGCTTATTGACATTTAAAAATTTGTATTCCATGAATTTCTGTAGCCTTGATTTTTGCCAATGCCTCCAGTGCAGCTTGGACTTCTTCCATTGGGTTTTGATCGTATTCTATGACTCTTGATATGATTATGCATCAATCAATTCTTTTTGATACTACAACTCTGTGTATTCTGTACATCTTCTTTTGATATTTTCATTCAATATTTTCACACTGCTGTTGTTGTAAAGTTTCATGGAGTCGGTTCCAACCCATAGAGATCCTGTACATGTTTTCTGAGGAACAGCTGGGTGGGTCTCAACCACCAACCTTGCAATTCTAACTGATTGTTCGGCCCAGTGTATTATTCTGCAGTGCTACACCAGGACTGAGGTTAGAATTTTTCATTCAGTGCTTTCTACTTGAGAAATGCTAGGTGTGTTCTTCTCTTTTGGCTTTCTAACTCCAGGTATTTGCACATGTCATTGTAATATTTGACTTTGTCTTCTTAAACTGCCCTTCGAAATTTTTTGTTCAGCTCTTTTATGTCATCATTTATTCCATGTGCTTTATTTTCTCTATGGCCAAGAGCAAACTTCAAGAGTCTCTTCTGATATCTATTTTGTTCTTCCTAGTTTCTGGTTGTTGTTTTTTTAATGACCTTTTCGTGAGCTTTCTTCATGTATGATGTTCTTGATGTCATCCCACAACTTTTGTGGTCTTCGATCATTAGTGTCTAATGCATCAAACCTGTTTTTCATCAGGTCTGTAAATTCAGGCGTCATATGCTCAACGACATACTTTGGATCTCATGGACTCAATTTTCTTCAGTTTCAGCCTGAACTTGCATCTGAGCAGTTGATGGCCTGTCCTACAGTCTGTCCCTGGTCTTGTTTTGGCTGATAATAGAGACCTTTTACTATGGATTCCATCTGGGGGGGGTGGTGGTGAATGTGTATAGTCATCTTTTATGTTGTTGAAAAGTGGTGTATGCAATGCAAACACTGTTCATCTTGCAAAATTCTATCATGCAATGACCAGGATCATTACTATCACCAAGGTCTTAATTCCCAACTACTCATCCTGCCTCTTTGCTTCCAAGTTTCACATTATAATCAGCAGTAGTTATCAATGCATCTTGATAGTATGTTTGATACATTTCAGACTGAAAAAGTTGGTGGTAGTTGTATTGTTGCTAAAGTGCTGTCAATTTGGTTCTAAATCATATTGACCTCATAAAGGATTTCCAAGGAGTAGCTGGTGAGTAGCTGACTTTGTGGTCCAAGCCAATCTTGTGGTCCAGCGCTTATCCTACAGAAGTTGGTAGAATTCTTCAATTTCACCATCAC